TATATATATATATATATATGTAATTCAAACCTAATATGCAGGTAAAATAAATATAATTGTTTGTTTGTTGTTAAGCAAAAAATTAACATAATGGGCTATCAAGTGCTGTGCCCACCATGGGTATTGAAACCTAATATTTAGTATTATAAGCCTTCAGACTTACTCCTGATCCAGTGAGATCAGGCTAACTAAAAAGTTAAATAAATTCAGAATACCATTACAGATGTTATCTACTTACCTATGTATGTCATCCAACTGCCAACAGAAAGAGATGTAAGAAGAAAACTTGCTGCAGATAGCAGGACAGAGAGAGCAACTTTGAGGCTAGAAGAAAACAACAATCATAAATATATCCATGTTCACATAATGTACAAAGGTCATGTACTTTCAGCTATATTTACACTTATTAATGAGTACTTTGATTAATAGATGTACAAGTCTTCTCAAACATATTAGCTATGTGAAGTTGAAAACTTCAAATATCAAAATATCCTTGACCTAACTTATGCAGATACAATAGAGGTAATTTGATTCAAGTGATTCAAATAGTAAAGACTTAGATAAACTGATCATTGGTAACATATTGTGGTAGTTATGATAACTATGAGCTTACAAAGACTTGATTTTATGAAAATATTTTGTTTGTTACAGCTAAACACGTTTGCAGAAGCATACTTGATAATCTAACATTACTTTAGTCTAATTTTGTTTTATAAATTTTTAAGATTTTAAGAATGTAAAATACTATGTTTAGTTAGAGTTAAGTGATTTTAATTGGCAAGTTCAGAGAAGGAAGGCTCATAAATTTTAGTAAACAAATTCTACACTTCCTTGGCATTTTCAGTCATTGTCACTAGCTTTGTAGAAATAAAAATATATTTCCATAAACACAATTATAAGTCTTGTTTCAACTCAAATCAAGACTAAATTTTAATGTTTTGTTTTGCATCCAAAAATATTTACACAAATAATAAAAACTTACTGTGTGTTAGTGACAAAAAATGGAACTATAAGCTTAATGGCTAAAGATGGTATAATGTCAGCTAACAGTATGGCCTGAAAATGAAAATATTATAATTAGATAAAATTTATGTCAATAAATGTTTTCAAGTTAAACTGCAAACTTTTAAGAAAATTAAAGATACACATTACAATCTCAAAGTTTAAATGATTATGTTTTAATGTATTTTAATCAATTACCTATTTTACAAATAAAAACCTAGTGATGGAAAAATATACCACTAAAGCTGCTTGACTTTTCATTCAAATACAAAAAACAAGTACACCTACAAAAAAAAACAACTAAAATATGAACAAATTTATAAATCATTATTAAGTAGATTATGAAAGTATTTATATTTTTTCATAAATTTTTAAATCAAATTTATTGTTTGGTAAAGTACATTAATTGTCACAAAATTAGGTTTTTTTTTTGGTTTTTTTTATGTGTGTTCTTAAAAAGAAAATGAAAAAAAAGGCTTTTAAAGCACTTACATCTCATACTTTAATTAAGCAGTTCTTAGAACCAACAAAGTCATTCCTAAAGATTGATATTTTTAACTGCTATTTAGGAGAATACTAAAAATTAAAAGGATGTATAGAAAATAATTATCATGGTAATCTTTTACATTAGTATGGAATTTTACGTGATACTTACAAGGAAAATTTAATTGCAATATGGAAAATTCATATTAAGTCAGCTGTTGTTTTAATAATACAAAGATACTCTCATAACAATGAACATAATTAAAAGTATCCTTAAATATATTGAAAACTCCACTGGTAACTGAAACTTTCTCCACTGTAAAACATATTTGCATAGATCCAGGAGAGAGAGATTTCCTATTTAAACAATCAACATAAACTATGTGCAGTGTCTCCAGTCATAGGAATTAATTTGAGACAGTGAATGATGACGGTGTAGTTTTCATGACTTCACCAGTCACACAGTTCTGCCCCCCATATTTCAAGGATTTTTTAAAGTCAAATCATGATTTTTCTCAAAATTTATGGTCTTTTAGGTGTCGGGAATGAGATCTGTAAGTTCAAGATTTTCAAACACATGTGTGAACACTCTTTATGGGTGTATGTTTACAATTTAGAAAATACAGATATATACAACTCAACTTACCCCTGTTGATGTTGGATTACAACGTCGTGTTATATTGTTTTCTGTTTCCTTAAAAAACAAAATAAGAAGTTTTTAACAAATTTACAGAGATTTTTAGAAATGTAAAAACATTAGTGGATTGAAGTTTCTTCTAATAAACAGTTAACTTAAAGTGTCATCGATATACCCTTTGTGAAGGGTCAGCAACCTTTTGTAGTTTTTGCAACAAAGATCACATCATTAATTTCTAGAACTGCTATAATTTCCAGCATTCATGTACAAAGTTAATCTATGACGACACCAGTCATTTTATATTATGAAACATCTAAAAACAGGGAAAGTTCTTTAAAAGGTAATCTAATCTCATGAGAATAGTAACAAAATTAGTGTCACCATAAAAAGTATATCTACATAGAATAATACTTTCTTTATATTGTAGACATAATGAATATTCTTCAGTTGGAAACAGCGGTGTGACTTAATGCAAAAACTGGCATTTTGCTATACAATTATAATAAAAAATGTACATTTACTTATCTTACATTGTGGTCAGCATCATGATAATCTTTGCTTAGGATGTCAAAAGCTGCACTGAGCATGATAACATAGGCATAATTGTTGCAAAGTCCAAGCAACCTGTAAGAATTTTTCAGAGCAATATATCAAGATATGCTTAATGTTTCTGAAACTATATTGGTTTGTGTTAATTTCTTTTCCAAGTACAAGTAGAAAAATTTTTAAATTAATTTAATTCTGTTATAATTGAAGTTATATATTATTGTACGAATGATCAGATCTTAACTTAAAAAATATTGAGGTGTGATAATAAAATGATGCTATATTACACCTCAAGATTAACTAGGTTAAATTAATTAAATAATAAATATTTCTGATTGTTTGAGTTAATCAGGTCAGTAGGTCAGGTTTTTAAACAATAGATCACTATAACAAAAAGCATCATGTCAAAGAAAAACAAATAACTTCAACTAAACACTACTAGAACTTACAGTGTGAAACAAAAGAAATAGAAATACATGTGTATTACAAAGACATATGTTGTAAAATAAAATGTTTACAGCCCATTCTAGTGAATAATGTTGGCTTGTAACTCCATTCAAGCAACTTCTAGGACAAGTTTTTCACTCATGAGCCTCTCTTTGAATTTTCTAAAAACAATATCTGAGAAATATAACTTGATGAAAAACCCAAAGGTTCTTAAAAAAACGTTATAGTTACAAAGTAACAGTTAAAAGAAAATGACTTAAAGACAAATAAATGAAACTCAAAACAATCTCACTATTACTAACAGTGCTAGAACTGGAAAATAAACCATTAATTGATTATCTATGAGTAGCAATTACATTGATAAGTATTACATAAAATAACCAATGAATCAAAATTATGATTAAGCTGATTAACGTCATGAAAAATAATCAACTAATTGAAATACTGTCATTATGATTTGTCATTATTATTTTCAATTAATTCTAGGTTGTTAAGCTTAATCAATTAGTGTCACAACTCACAAAAGTAATAAATTAATGAATTATTATTATCATCATTCAATATCTGATAAATATCTCTTAGAGTGAAACTCTGCTTAATAGTTCAGAAAGTAGGGGTTGCAAAACCCTTTTGGTCCAGCTGACCTTACAATCAACATACTGTCCTAACTCAGTGTTCATGTGGTAATCATACATGTTGCATATATTGTACTGTAAAACATCCCCCTATAGTTTAAAAAGCAAAGGTCATAACAGTATTTCAACCATTTTAAAACGTCTAGCAAACCTGATATACTAAGCATTAGTTCTATTACTAGTCCTAATGGAAATCACACAGTTTAGGGCATATACTGTACAGCAAACACTTGATTGCCACTTCCTTTTGGTCACTGATCATACAATCAGTGACTGTTCTAGCTTTAGTTGAGGCTAATCTTAGCCAGATCAATTGGGAGGTTGTCACTGAAGGTTTCTTGAACAGCCAGATAAATACTCTTAACTTTCCTCTTCATCTTCAGGGATAAGTATATGTTCTGTCCTTATATGAGTCCATAATCTCCTCTTCAACTCTTAGTCAAGCCAGTTCACCAGAGGTTCAGCGGTCATGTACGATCATAGCTGGTTGATGTGTACTATGCACTTTTGCACACCCCTTGTCTGCTGTAACTCATATGTCAATGGAGTGACTTGTTGGAGCACACAGAGAGGTCCTCTATAGTCAATAGCCTCACCCAGTCTCCTCTTCTGTACATTCATTCCTTATGTCATATGGCAGTTTCCTGGCTGTTGATGTGCAAACTCATACATGTCAACTAACACAGACTCTATCAACTCCACATATTCTTGTGGGCATTTTGGGATGTTGGCTTTAGGTGGAGGACCATGCATTACCTCTACAGAAGGCAAGACTTCTCAGTCAAACACGAGTATATTTTGAAAACAACCTGTTGATCTCTATTCAGTTGCACAGTATTGATCATGATGTTGGGTAAACGTTCATCCCATTTTATTTGACTGGGGTTAACAACATTAGAAAGCATATAGTTTATTGTATGTATCACCCACTCCACTAAATCATCAGATTGGGGGTGATAAGGCAAAGTGTGCATCTTCATCACACCCAACACTTTACACAACTACAAAAACAGTTGGCTGTTAAAGTTAGTTCTTTGATTCATGTAGATCTCTTTTCAGGTACTCTGAAAAACATTATCCAGTCCTCTAGCACCACTTCAACCATAGAATGTATTGATAAATTGATAACTGTCAGCCCACTTTATGAAGTAGTTCATGATCATTAATATATACAAGTGAGCTCATTCCATCACTGGAAATGGACCAGCAATAACTAATAATTATTTACTAGAATTTACCTTGTTTAAACTGGGTTTTTCTCTGAGTGGCACCCACCATATAGTCTTCATACCACAGATCATCTGCACCATCAGTCAAACTTTTTGTGGCACCCCTTTTTCAAGCTTTAAACTTTGTCCAGTGATTATTCTGTCTCATTCTCAGGTCAAAAGACTCAAACAACATGATAATAACTTTCTCACAGTTGCTTCTCATAAAGTGCTCATTGGAGCTTAGGGAATTGCACAGCCTGTTTTGCAGTTCAGCTGTTCCAGGCTGTTATTCACCAAAAACACTTTAAGTAATGGTCTAGCTCCTCTTTTGCTGAAATCTTGAATGTTATGCTTTGAGTATCTGTGTGTGATCTGCTTCACCTTGCTCACTTGGAATCCTGATCACGGTCAAAACTTCTCTCTTATCACCCATCTTGAGTGGCAAATCCCTGATTCAAGATGGCAGAGCAACAAGTCTGTCCTTATCTGAGTCCATAACTCCTTGACCTCAGAATCCTCCTTCAACATTTGGTACCTGCCATCTCACATCCTGGTGATGTAGCTCCTGTTGGTGTATTTCATCCACCAAGAGCACCTCCAGCTTCTCTTCAATGTTCATGGGTGGGTTTGACCAGAACTGCAATTTAATTACTTGGACTTTCAAAGGTCTGAGAGTACTACACAGATCATTCCATTTGGTCTCTAACTTGCCAAATATCACACCACTGTGACAATCCTCAGTTGTCAATACTTCAGTTTCATTTTGGTTAATCCTCAGAGGAAGAGCATGGACAGCCATTCTTGGTGCACCAGAGAGAAGTCATGGATCTTTGCAGCAGCATCAAATGTCTTATGTCCAGGAGAAGATAGATTGATGGTTCTCTTAAGACTCAGATTACCTTCTCTTGGTTATAAGTACTTCTATTACAGAAAATTCCATTCCATAACTATGAAGCCTTCTTAAACTTATATCACACAAAAGTAGGAGTAATACAGAAAACAGGTTCAGATCCTGGTTACAGTATCAAGATTTTCTCCTTCCTATCTGCTCTATGTTATTTTGAAGTTGAACTGAATTACCTTTACAGCAGTGGGATAGGTTTGCTTAACAGGGGATAAGATATTTATTCTGAAGTGTTGTTGAATAACTCACCAGGAGGAAAAAAAAGACAGACTTAACACAAAGTAATACATGAAATGAACAATCTTTATTAACTCAAAAACACAGTATGCATGATTATTGTTATTAAACAAGAGATAGTCACTTCTATTGAATGCTATATCTTCAACTGATCAGACTGAAATCATCTACCAGACCACTTAAATTCAATGTTCCTTATTTTTTAGGTAATGCTAGATTTACCCAGAATGGCTAGTTTTATGTGATTGGTCATTCTCATTCAATCAAAGGTGAGGTTACAACTTCAAATTACCACTAGCTCTACCACTGAAGGAAACTACTGTCGACTTTCCTGTACAACATGCAGAATTACAGCAATAATTCCTATTGGTAGAACAGACATTATCTATAGATAATAACAAAGGCAGCTGGAACAACAAAAGTATCCTCAAAATACTGCTTGCTCTACCCACCTTGGAGATGTTGCAGCATTACAGCTAATCACCAAATGGCAGAACAGGTATTATCTCCAAAGAATAACAAAGGAACATAGCTAACTAGAATGAAATGAACCTGATGACTTTCTTGATCATATTCTATGCAAAACCTGCACATATAAAAAATGAAAAATTCAGAATAATATTATATCCAAATAGGTAAGATAAATGCATGGTACATTTATATACCACAAAAGTACTGGATACATCAAAGGCATGGGTCATAAACACGGACAATCAGCCATTTCTTATAGTATCAGATTTTGATTTTCAACAAATTATCAGTCTACTGGAACCAAAAAACAACTCTCATAGTGAGAAGTTTTATTGCACTTGCATACTTGAGGAAACTTACTTTAAAATGGAACAAAAAATAAAGTCTCTCATATTTGTCAAGAGCAACAGATTCTCTGAGCCTTACTGCTCACTGGAAGAGAAAGTCAGCTGCATGGATCTCATATGAGAGAATACAGTGAACAAACTTTCGTGGATATGGAAGCTCTAGAGTACATCTCGTTCGGAGAGGCAACGGAGTAAACACAGTGAAAGTAATGAAATCTACTCTAAGCTGCACTAAAGCTTGTCACTAGTGATAACATTTCTATTCAGATGGCAGTGATGGACATTCTGGCAAAAATAAATGAACAGTAACTGATTTCAATCACTATGAGATAGCAAGCAATGTTTATAGGCTATAAAGGATAAGTTTAGGTCCACCCAAATGCAGAAAAAATACAATATGTGCCAATATTTTAGGAATTTCAAATCTGTACATTACAGAAGACACTAGAACAGAATCACGAACTTAATATTTTTTCTATAAACACGGACAAGTTCCATGTCTGAGTGCTGAACAGTGGGACATTTTTACAAATACAACAGAAACTTTGACTCTCATTAAGGAAATTACTTTGGAAATTAGTAATGAGTGCTTCTACATTTTGCATAATTCTTAATGTTACTGTTCTCTGGCTACTTCAAGGAGGACTCATCCACTTGAAACCATGTTATGCTGGAAACAGTTCTTTAAAATTTAATGCATTAAAACTGTAGCATTTACATGTTTACTTAATCTCCTTGGTATTCTTATACTTGTAATTATTTTGCTTCATAGGTGTCACTTTATTATGAAATTAAATTCAACAGCAATATACATATATATTAACAAAACAGGTAGCAACAACCCATATTTTTGCATGCACTGCAAGGGCAGACAGAAGGGGGGGGGGGTCCAGACCTCACTTTTGGGAAGAAATTTTCTAAAAAATTCTGAAATTTTAAGTAATGGCAAAATTGACCAAGAAAAACCCACCTACAATGCCTTTCCAGCCAGAACCCCCTCCTTTTCTAAAAGTCTTGTATTCATGCCTGCACTTTACTACTTATGTGTAAAAAATAAAATGAACTTGTATAAACTGCAACAATCAGCAATTCTTTGATATGATAGTTCTAGAAGCAGGAAAATAATTTGGTATAAATTCATGAAAAATACAAACCTCGATATTTATTTACCCTGTTATCTGGCTTCAGTGATTAGAATTAGAATTTGGTGTGTTAGTCCTTGAAGCAGGTAATTGCACACAATCCAATTTTAAAAGAACAACAGCAGATCTCTAAGTATGTGTACACTGGCTCTACTCATGGTGTTTAGTGATGTCAAATAGCCATAGATGGCAGTAGCCTACTGTCCATGGAAAAACTTGGATGAATGCTGCAAAATCAGATAGTAAAGTTTGCTCCAAGCTTATTTTGGGTCAGAAAATTTTTGTTCAGCTTGCTCACTTCCAAGACTGTCTCAGGATAACCACCAAAGAGGTTAAACCCCTCAACAAAGCAATCACATTCTCATCTCTGTCTACCCTATGCAGGAATCAAGCATAGTTAATAGAAGAAGCATGGTGTTTCAAGGTAGAGAGTGCTTCAATAGCAATAAGTAAACCAAACTGTTGCAACAGTACGGTGTGTGATGACTAATAAAAAAAAAATCAACCAGAAAAGGGAAATGGAATGGGGTTAGAAGATCAGACTGGTATGTATTTATGTGAGCCACTCATCGATCAGAAAAGTGGTAAGCTGCTGGAGTGGTGGAAGGTAAACAGAGAGCGATACAAAGTACTAGTTAGTACTAGAAAATATTTCGACTCTCTGCCATCTTCATTACCAAGTGAATGTGTCATCAGCACTTTCTTGACATATGCAAATGACAGAACATTGAATAATAACAGTAACTTTTACAATGGAACTCCTAAAAAATAACCTTCTAGGACTTTAAACCACATAGTTTGACAGAAGAAAAACTGGGCTGAAATGTGAAGTTTGTAGTGGTTTTTAATGTGCATGTTATATTGAGAGAGAGATGCTTGAATGTTTTATTTATATCTTTTTTTTAGTTTTTGAAAAATATATGATGATGAACCCATACTTACTTGTAAATGTTCTAACAAGTCACACCCAAAGTTTTTTTGTTCTGTTCAAAAACACTATTGATTCAATAAAGATTTTAGTCTTTACGTCAGCCCATTTTATCAGGTATTGACTAATCTGTTTTTTAGCATATCAGTATTTGGTATCAGTATAGAAAAATCAATATTGGCCAACCTTTATTTCTTATTATAGCCTTCTATTTCATCTTGCAATTCAATCTAACTACATTAACATACATGTCTGCAAGGTGGACAACATTGAAATATCACATTTTGATGCACATATACATGTAAGTATACTTACCAGAAACCAGACAAATTCCTACAGTTTGTCCACTGTGAAGGCATTATGGTCACACCATCTATTAATTATATATAGAAAAAATACAACTCTTTCTGTGTGCACCTATATGTAAAATTATACATTAACTAAGTTATCCTAATTTAATAACTGACTTTTAGATCAGAATTCCATATTAATTAAGAAATGAGAATTAGTGACACATAGTAGAACTGTTATTGGGTTGATCTTTTAATTACCTAAGAAACTTGTACTTATGAATAAACAATTATACATTTTTAGACACATGTTCATAATTATACGTCTAAACAATACATAACAAAACTTTATCTCTTTACAACATTTAAGAGGTAAGTTAACATTATTTCGTTGATTAGTGGAATCTGGGGTCTAAGTTATTTACAATTTAGATACTTTTTTTAGACAATAACATTTATAAATATACTGTAGTTTCTAAGATGCTGTTAAGACTATTTCTTTAATGTACAAAGAATTGGATACTCTTAGTGAGTAAAATTATTAAAATGATTTTTCAATATTGAGGCAAAGTCTGAAAAATATTTACTTTTATGAAAAAAAACATTGGCATTGTGAAAAAATTAGAAAAGGTCTCAGGTGTGATTATTGATAAAAAATTTAAATAATTAGCTGAAATTACCAGTAGTTAAAAATAATAAGCCAGTTTGAAAATTTAATTATAGAAATATTAAATTCAGGCATAAAAAGGCAATTGTAATTTTGCATCAGATACAAATGAATCCTGTGTGTAAGATTTGTTTCTCTTATTACAAGACATATAACAAAATGCTTGAAATAGTGCAGTGGGGGCCACTTGGATGATACACTGTTCAAAGTCATTTAGCTGGAAAGAGGATTATGGATTGACACCTATCTTTAATGTTATTCAATTAAAGCAATTAGACAAAAAAAAAATCTTAAAAGGTAAATATGTATCACAAGAATAACAAGCTACCAATAGCCTGTAAACTAGCATCGCTGTCCTAAAGAGGTACCGTATTTTTCGGAATATAAGACACACACTTAT